CCTGCTTGCACCTTTCCTCTCAGGACAAGTATAGGAACCTGTCAGATAAAACATGCAAAACAAGAAAGGTCTGAGAAGCTACAACTGCTGCCAATGCTGTCTAAACCCTAAGCCCCGCAAATAAGCGTCGTGAAATCCTTAGCATTCTGGCTCCTGCTGTTTTGTTTCTGCCCAAACCCTCATCCCTAAACCCTAAACCCTAAACCCTAGAGAAGGTTAATCCTCTTCCATGTGTTCCATGTGAAACATCGGCTGCCGCCTGTTGCGCATGTATCTTGGGTGCTCTTCTAGGCCCAGATTGGGGCTGGTTCCTCAAGTACCCGGGTGTTCTGCTGGAATACCAACTTGACCGAGTTATGCCATTCTTTCCATCGTAAAACGTACCCAGTCAGCCATGAACTTTGTCACCTACCAACCAGATCCGCTTGAATTTAGCAAGTGCCACCTGTTCTGTCTCTGGATTGTTCTGCACCCAGAGTTTAGCCTTTATCCAATGACAGAGGATTTCCGCTTCAATCATCTCTTTGGTTGCTGCCCACACTTTCTCCCGTGGGTTCTTCGTGCCGTCTAGAGTTCTACTGCATCTTTCCTTCCATATGGCCCATAGCGTGACCTTGCGTATCAACCCGAACCATATTTTCTCTGATTGGCCGAAGTTAGAGGGTAAATTAGTCCAAAGGAGCAGTTGAAGGGGGTGCTCTGGGAGGGGAGACGAGAACAAACTATCCCATAGTGCTGCTGCTCTTGCCCAATAATCTGTGGCTTCTTTACAGTTAATTAGGCAATGTATCACGTCTTCCTGTTTTTGGTCTGAGCAGGCTGCACAGATATCAGAGCTGGTTGGATCGTTCTCTCTTCTTCTGACATGTAGCCTTTGATTGACCGGTAGAGCAACAAATGTTATGAGCCACTGCATGCTTCTGATTTTTATAGGTCTTGTTGTTTTATATTTTTTCCATGGGATTTTTTCTATCTGGTCTGCCTCCGAACCAATTAACTTGCTCCATCTTCCTTTGATTGTTGGGTCTGGGTCCTTTGTTTTTAACAGCATCTTGTAACCCAGCTTGACTGTGTGCTCATATACTGGAATTGGTGGTTTGGTGGTTCTTGTTCAGTCGGGGGGCCAAGCCCACTCCGAGGGATCAAACTCGAGGTCTTGAATTGCTGTCCCTGTTTGAAATATCTGCTTTGGCCAGAGTCCTAGTGTTCTTATTTTACGGAGAGTAAACACATTGAGCACTACTCTTTCACCGTTGATGTTCTGAATGTACAGTTCATCTGGCTTGGTCTTCAGGATCGGGAAGGCTGTGAAAACGTCCCGTGGCCCTGGACCTGATATTCGACGGGAAAATTGGTAGGGCCTTTCAGGGGAGTCGTCCTGGATTAGGATCCCCCACTCCCCGACTTTCCACGTGAAATCCTCCTTTAGTAGCTTTGCCCAGCTCCCAGGAATACTCTGTTAATCTTCTGTAAATTTTCATCTCTGTGGTGGCATCCTCTCAGTTGAATTTTAAGCTCATTTTCATCCAGCCAATTGTTCCTTTCCTCGTTCCAGATGTCCCCTACTCGCCATACACCATGTTTAATCCATGACAGCCATCTGTTGCCTCTGTGGGAGAGAGTCCACGGGTGGTCCCCCTCGTCTCTGATCCAGGGGTTCCTAAACAAAGGCTGCCTGAGCACTTCCTCTTTGGATCTGGGTTTGTTTCGTTTCTCGGGCATGATTTCTGTCTCGAGATACGTATAAGTGCCGTCCAATAGGGCATCGGTGTCTGGTCGTGCGATGGGGGAGCGCTAGTCCCGTGTCTTCTCCTCCCTATTCTTGGACTCCAGTCCTTGTTCATGACCCAGAACAGTCCGGACATGTTAGTGGGGGATTCCGTTGGGGCCAGCTTCCTGATGCTATCTTGTGGTAGTTTGTTGCACGGCAGTGATTGACTAGTCAGTAGCTTGATGACCCACTTAACTTGTAAGGATTTCGTTTCTTGTTTGGGGTCAATAATGCCTGGTCCCCCCTGAGTTGGTTTCCGTGTGATATAGTGCCATGCTATTTTTGGGATGTAGTTTTCTTTGTTAGGGTTCCCTGACCATAAGTATGCTCTGGCTTTCTTGTTTAGATCTTTGATGGTCTGGTCTGGAATTGTCCAAATGGAGGCTATGTACCACATCATTGAGAATACGGAGGTATTAATGGTAAGAGCCCTACCCAGTAGTGATGTAAATGCTTGACTCCATTTCYCCATTTTGTTGATTTGACCAGCTAGGAGATTTTGTGCCTAGTACAATTGCAAGTGTGAGAATCTGTTATTTCGTAGGTATGGGAAGTTCGACAGATTTTGTGTTCCTAACCATGCGCCTCTCCAAACTCACTCCATGGATATGGCACACGGTCGGAGCGGGCACTTTGGCTTCGCCCGGACCTATAAGTTTACCGCAGCAATTGAACTGGTCTGACATGTAGGGATTGGTGCAGAAGTTTGTGGCAGAATGCGAGGTTTGTCAACAGACAAAAGATCTATAGACAACGATCACCTGGTTTGTTGAAAACATTACCCATCCGTTTTGGTCCCGATGAGTCAGTCTCCATTGACTTCACGGACATGGCAAAGGCAAGTAAGAGGAGCAATTCTCAAGTCATGGTGATTATTGATTGCTTCTCCAAATTTTGCAATCCAATTTCTTTACTGCCTCATCCACCAATTGATCTAGTCATTCACGAGTTCAAACATAAATATATCTTGCAATTTGGTCCTCCAAAAACTTTTGTGAGTGATCGGGATACCTGATTCATCAGTTCAGCAAGGACTTTACGAGTCTACTCTACGAAATCAAACTAAGTATGATATTTGGTCGCCATCCGGAAGCCAATGGGCAGGCTGAAGAGATCGACCAGATTTTCACCCAACTCCTCTGTGCCTTAATCATTCCTGATCAGAGCACGTGGGATGAGGAGTTGGATGTGGTGAAAGGGTTGTATAACAATTCCATTCATTCCGCCACCAGTAGACCGCCTAACATGCTGCAGTATGGATGGCAGATCCGCAACTGTCTTTCTTACTTGTGCCCTGATCTATTGCCTGGTCCAACTCCCGACATGCCTGGGTATGGGGCAAAGTACCGGCACTTGCTCAAGGTTGCTATCGCAACAATGAACAAGTGTTTAGGATGCCATAGTCGACGCAAACGTGTGACCTTTAAAGAAGCATATAACATTTGAGTGAAGATGTCTGAGTTTCTGGATGAGGAGTGTCCTGCAGATTACTCCTTTTTTTTTAAAATTGAAAAACAGGACCTTATGGCCCTGGCTCCTTTTCCATTCTGGGGAGCATCAATCCGGTTCCTATTCCACCGGCAAGTCAAAAGAATAATACATCATAATTACAGACACACGCTTCCTTCCGTACGGCCGAAGGATCCTTGACCAGCATTGATTACTCCATCCGCATGGAGGATTGACTGTCAGCTTGCCATGCTATACCCTTTCCTCTCAGGTCTGCTGCACAAAACCTGCCATATAGGTCCCGAAAACCAAGAAAGGATCTTGCCCCTTCAACAACCCTCCTACCCCTCAACATACCCTGAACCGCCACATTTTCTGACCATGCATATGCATCATGTTGGCAGGTTTTGAAAGTTGTGGGAGATTATGATTTTGGTCCTTTGTATGTGGTTGGCGTGCCACCCCATCTGCGCCCGTACCCAGTCTTTTATGCGTCTAAACTCTATCCATATACGGCTGCTACTTCCCCCCTTGGTCACGATACTATGATCCCTCTTGATATTGATGGCGTTCACGAACTCCACAGAATTATGGAAAACAAAGGAAAGGTAAAGGACAGACAGTTCAAGAGCTTCAAGGTCCATTTTCTGTATTATCCGCTAGATGAAATGTATTGGATATCCCGGAAAGTCGTACTCAAGACTTCATCCCGTGTGGTTGATGCCTATGAACGTCATACTACTTCCCGTCAGACATTAGTGTTCACTGACCATCTCATTGTTTATGAACAGACAACAGTGCTCTTTGCATTCACAGCCTACGAGGCATTGCGTGGGGACTCTGATGAGTCTACTCGCTCGAAGGGACCTCGCTCTTGAGGGGGGGGGTGTAATACAATCAGCTGCAACATCATAAATTGAGAACTCTGCTGAGTTTTGCTGCGGGACTGAGTGACTTGCCAAGATTCCGTATTATGCTGAGATTTCTAAGTATACGTGGGTGGATGATTGCTGAGTTTCCATATGTTGTTTGGGTGTGCGTGTGACCCTCCAAGGTACTTGTGTGCCGAGAAGGCCCCTCCACCTGGTACTTACCAGTGACCGTGCTTTTGTGTGGGCACAACGGGAAATTAGAAGTAGGCTAGGCCCACGTAGGATGGAAACACTCAAGTAGCGGGTAGGTAGGTAGGCAGAAGAAGACAAAAAGTAAGTACCGTACAGGCCGAAGTGACTTTAGAGGTCTGGTAGGCTTAGAAAGGGAGGTACCCGTCCAAGTAGCCTGAGTCTAAAGCCTGCGGGATGGGATATCAGAGTGCTATGATGTTTCCCTCTGAAATGGAGAAGGTACCGGTAGCTTGGGAGGCCAGCGACCTGGAAAGTCACTGTCCGAAGAGGCAGTAGTCCCATATATTTGGAGGAGAGCGAAAAGCTCCTCCTCATTCGTAGCATGCAAGGTTGAGCGTCATGCTGGTGGAGCGAACGCTCAGTGTCGCGGCGCTGGTGAGTGCATACCTGGCTATGGTAGTCTGCATCTTCATCTTCTTGGTTGGCGCTGCACCTGGAAGGCCCCAACGGGGATCGACTTCTTCAAGGAAAACTTCAGGCTAGTGTTAGGCATGGCGGCCATAGTAGGAGGGACAGATAGTCTTGTCTTTTCTCCTTTGAACATCGGAGCTTGCTCCGTTACTCCGCCATAGCCGCCTGCTTGACTAAGGAGGAGGACGGTGTATGAGATGACTATGGTCGACCTCGTGAGTTGTTGGCAACAAGGAGAGGATTCAGACATTGGTTCTCGTTCATTCTTACATTGCTATTATTATCATTATTATTATGAAGAAGTTGGGGGAGTAAAAGGAGGTTGGAGATGGTGGCGAGATGAAAGGGGGCTTGACATTGGTCTTTGCTGGTGTTCACCATGCTCTTCTTCTTCCAGTCTTATTTCTTCTTCTTCCTTTGTCTATTTCTCTTTCCGAGTTCTTTCAGTTCAATTGCAATTGAACAAAATTGTCTTTGTCTGAGTTACAGCACTTCGAGATAGCCAGGATTGTAACAACTGCGAAGTACCTACCGTATTTCAACACTAAAGACAAGAGAGAATACTCCCCTTCTCAGTTTTTCACCTGTCTCAGTTTCATCAACTGCTAACGAAGGATGCTCTCGACTGCCCCACCTTCGTCTTGGGAGCGGTAACTTGGTCCTCAACGATTTTCACCTTGGGGCCCTGTTGATTGATTCCTGACGCTGATTGTGGTGGTGATTGCAATGATGATCGCCTACGATTGGCGCCTGTGCCTGTACGAACTGGTTGTGCTGCATTGCTGCCCAATGCTGAGCTTGGGGCAGCGTCAACATTAGCTCGCAATAACGCAGGTGATACGCCTCCACCAGTGCCAGCAGGCTGAAACCTGCCGAGCTGATAGAAGCTGGTAATTGAGATGGACCCGCCGGGACCAGCATCCAAAAGTGCACTCAGGCTCTGTCTGTCCTGCAGTTCAGGGATCATCACCTCAACAAAGGCCAATGGGGAAGACACAGACAGAGAAGAAATGGACGCAGTAGGACAGGAGGAGAGGGGCGTGACGAGTACAGTGATGACAATGAGGCAACAATGGAGGGGGAGGGGGAGGAAGGAGATGGTGAAGATAAAGAGGAGGAGGATGGTAACGAGTATGATGATGATGATGATGATGAGGAGGAGGAGGAGGAGGAGGAGGATGACAATGAGGATGACGATGAGGATGAGGATGAGGATGATGATGATGATGATGATGATGATGATGATGTGGCATTAGAGGACAACGAGGAGGAGGAGGACGGGGGGGAACAAAAAGGATAAGGTTGAGCAGAGGACAAGCAAGAAGGAGGAGGAAGAGGAGCAAGAGGGAGGAACGAGGATGAGACTGAAGAGAAGGACAAGGGGAGGAAGAGGAAGGAGCAGGAGCAAGAGGAGCCATGAGGACAAGCAGAAGAAGAAGAAGAAGAAGAAGAAGAAGCAGAAGAAGAAGCAGCAGAAGAAGCAGCAGAAGAAGCAGAAGAAGAAGCAGAAGAAGAAGCAGCAGAAGAAGAAGCAGAAGAAGAAGCAGAAGAAGAAGAAGCAGAAGAAGAAGAAGAAGAAGAATGTCAATTTGGTAGGCTTGGCAACAGATCGTCAAACCACAAGCTACAAGGCAAGCAAGTGTGTCTTGACAAAATCCTCAAAAGATGGAAAATGAAGGGCCATCAACATCTGCCCATATAGCTGAGGAGACAAAAGAGGACAACATTCACCCAAAGAGAAAATTCAAGAAACGATCAGACGAGGGTGCAAGAGAAGCTACATGTAACATATCGACCAGAATATCTCAGATCCTAAGCATTGCCTCCAACTTCATTCAGGAGTTGTAGACGAGCAAGTCACCAAAAGAAGGCTCCTACAAAATCAGAAGGGTTCAGGAGAAACTCGTCCGGTAAAGGACAGAAAGAAACTTCATCACACACTCCCAGACTTGAAGCTGAATAAACCGCTGGGCATAGATGGCCTCTCAAAGGAGGTGGTCCGGATGGGGTCAAATCTTCTCTCCTTCTTACAGGAAGCTCGAGAGAAGGAAAGACTGGGCTCAGATTCAAGAACAAGACTAATCAGTTTGCAGTACTAAGAAAAGGGAGACAAGGAACACATACGCAACCATAGGGTGTTTTCCCTTTTGAGAGTTTCCCAAGATTATGGCAAAAAAGAGAATAAAAGGATTCACAAAGGAACACTTCCATCTAGACCAAATTGACTTGAATCATTAGTCGTGTGACTCGTGTCGATCTGTGATTGCACTTTTTGTTTCTTGTTTTTTGAGCCTCGATCTATTTCGTGGGGAGCATCATCCTGGGAAGGTTCATGCTCGACAACAAAATGAGACTGTTGGACTTAATGAAGGTCATCAGCAAAAGAAAGATCAATGCAGCTATACTCTTCTTTGCTTTTGGAAAAGCATATGACCCATTCGCTAAAGTTGGGATCCACCTTTAGCAACCTTCAGCTTTGCATGGAGAAGATGGGGATGTGTACCAACTTCGGCAATGGGTCTGGACTCTGGACTCTGGATTGTTTGCAATGATAGCCAGGGCAAAAGAAACAAGTACGGATGCGGCTGGTTTTGAGTTCGCAAAGGCAAAAAAACATGCGCCGGCAAAGATATCACCGTGCGAGCTTGAAACAGCAAATTCAGTAGAAAAGGATCCGTTGGGCTTCTTTTTTTTTGTTCCCCTCCCCCCCCGTCTGACAGCACCGCCGGCCCCTGTAGTCATGACACCTGTGCCTCTGTCATGGCCGGGCTACTTTCATTGCTTTTTCGAATTCAGCGGCTGTTTTCTTTGAGGGCGCGTGTTTTTTTTGCGCATTCAAAACTCTAAAGTGACATCCCCGTCCTTGCCACCCCCCAAAAAAAAAAATTCCCAGGGTATAGTGCAGGTCAATGACCTCTTTAATAGTTTTTTTTATCTAACCCCTACAAAGGCCCCTTAGTTGACCCTATTTCCTGTTTGACATGGAAGCCATAGCGTTCTTTGACTCCTTTTTGAGGGAAGACCCATCAATAGAAGATCCTTTCCTAGTACGGAAAGTCTTAAACCACTAGTACCTTTGTCGGATCGGAAAATAGCGGGCCTCCGACCTTTCAGGAGGCCGAAACAAAATGAGGGTCGCCGATTAGATTTATCATTGGCAGCCGTCGCCGGGCCCGGCCTTCAAATTCTTCGGGAGCTGGCGTTTTCCCTCATTTCTGAAGCGGCAAAGGTACTAGTGGTTTAAGACGCCCCTCCGTGGGTTAAAATGATACCTCCCCCCCCTCCTCCCCAATTTCTCTGATATTTTTCCTTGAACGATCTCGACCTTCTGCAAATTCGTCTGAGCGTGAAAAAATCGCCAAAGTTGCCGCTTGATCTGACCGTCTTGATCAGGGTCATGGACTCGTCATTTGAAACCCTCACAAGAGCAATGGTGGCTTTCCAGCTGGCGTTTGAGATGAAAATGAACTGGCCAAAAACGATGGGCTGGTGGCTTTCGTACGACGGTCAACAAGTACAGCCTCAACCACAGAACTATGGGGGGATGAGCTGGCTACCATCGGATCAGCCATTGAGATACTTAGGGATCAGACTAGAAGATACAGGCCCACATCACTCGATGGCATCGGAGCAGATGACGAAAATGTTAACCAAGCTTTCAGCCTGGTCGGAGATCTACACTTCCTTGTTTGGCTGAGCACTTATATTGAACGCCTCTATCTTCTCGATGCTATGGACGTGGGATCAATCTGGACACCTCCAACGCAGTCACTCAAGAAGCTCAGGAGGGCGGTAACAGCTTACTTGCGGACAGCGAACCCCACTAAGCCCAACTTTATATCCAAGGTAGCATGGAGGCAGGTAATTCAATCCAAGGACCAGGGAGGAATGGGCATCCTGGATCCTGGACAACAACTGAAAGCACTCCAAACTAAATGGGTCATCAAGCTGTTAACTCATCCTCAGCTCCAATGGGTCCCTTTGGTACTAGAGCATATCCGTAAGATGGCCAAATACAAAACCCCACCTAATATGGAGGGTACCTTCTGGCTATTCTGCAAAAGCTGGGCCAAGAAAGGAGGAGCACGGTCCGAGGGGGGAGAAGCAGATCCAAGCAGGAGTTCGTACTGGGCGCAAATATGGGGGGGGATCTTCCCAGCAAGAGTGAGACAACCAACCACGAAGGAGGAGGTGCTCCGACAACCCTTATTCTGCAATCCATGGTTGAAAGACTTTCAAGGAAGGCCCAAAACACTGACAGCGAGGGATGCCAAGTGGGGAACCTGGCTTGAACATGGGGTCTGGCAAGTAAAGCACCTCTGGTCGGAGGACAACCGCAGATGGAAAACAGGCAGAGAACTGAGGGAGGAAATGAAAGGAAGCCACAGACTGTTTGAAAACCTTAATGACATACTTATTTCCATTCCGGGCGAGTGGACGCAGATGTTGAGAGGCTCGTACCAATGGAGAAGGGGCGACTGGGCAACCTGGAGTTTTAGTGATGAGCCAGTGGAAGCCTTTCATATAGGACAACTTGTAGCACCAACCAAACAATGGGCGGATGCCGACATGCACGCAATCTCAGCTCCTGGTGCCACAGTTAGTCAACTGGACAAGGAATCACATACTCCGATCACCATCAAGCAAGATAGTTTGACGAAGGTCAGGGTTATAGAGACTGAGGATTTTACAATCTTCGCCCCGACAACCAAGATTCAGAACCTAGAAATTGATCCAGCAGAGTGGGCTTGGAACATTAGGGGGGGCACGTTACGAGTTGCCAGGAGAAATAATATATTACATTACACTACCAAGTTGGGGTACTATCTCAGGAAGCATTCAATCCAGTTGGACCGCCCTCGGTCGATAAGATGGGAGAAGAGGGTCGAAAGACAGGTCAAGCAATTACCCTGGCCGAGCTTACACAACATCAGGTCGAGTAAGGTCAGGAGCATGCAGTGGCTCATTTTCCATGTGGCACTCCCAGTCAATGGTTGGCTGTATGATAAGCGAAGCAGGCATCATAGCAGAACAGGCATGCTCCCAGTGCACGGGAGGAGTGCCCGAAACCCTGGCACACTGCCTACTGCAATGCCGTGAAGCGGAATACCTATGGACAATCGCTCGAACACTGTGGACGTGTATTACAGTAGCCCCATTCCCACAACACAGGAGATCGATACTGATAGGAAGTGAAGTACCCAAGGGGTGGCAGTCCAACCATAAATACATCTTCCAGTTACTAAGGCAGTACACATTATGGACTATCTGGAAACGGAGATGCCAACAGGTGATTGGGAAGACACCATTGGCCAGAATAGAAGCCAAGGCAACACTCTACAATCTATTGGAGATGGAGATCAGGGCCCAATGGCAGAGGACAAAAAGGCAAGCATCATTAAACTCAGAAAAGGGGAAGGATCTCTTAATTAAATTCCAGAAAAAGATATTGGCCAAGGGCAAAGTAGCTACTATCGAAGAAGTTAGGCTGGTCTTCCATTGGTTCCAAGAGGGACAACAAGGGATACCCATGGGGGATCCGTCAGCTACCCCCGATCTTAGGCTACCATAGAAAAGGGAGGGGGGGCGTTGGAGGGTTTAGGGTTTAGGGTTTAGCCAGCTTGTGAGGCAGGTCTTAGCGTTGGAGGGTTTAGGGTTTAGTCAGCTCGTAAGGCAGGGCTTAGGGATTAGGGGTTGGGGCTTACACAAAGTCAAAAGTAAGCGGAGATCATAATAGCAGAGATTCCAAAGGGTCATGTGGTGTCTTTCAGAAACGTAACAGAGGAGTTAGTGGTGGAAGCTTCTAAGACCTTTCTAGTTATTCATGCATTACATGGCAGGATTTTATAGTTAAAAAAAAAAAAAGGCAAAAATCCAAGGTCTTAGCAGAAAAGTCAGCAAACCCCCTAGAGGAGAGAGGAAAAGTCAACTAGGAGTGAGGGCTCTAGTAGAGCATTCAGCAACCACTAGGACAGGGTTTAGGATTTTAGCAAGGTCATAGCACTACACCGAGCTAGTAGTTCCAGCAAAGGGAAGCAAAACAGACAGCTAAGACGCAGAGAGGAACAGGCAGGCTCAGATCTAAGGAGTGGATTTACAGGTCCCAAAAGTCAGGACTTTTCAGACTAGCAGTATAAAGCAATTTTTAAATAATACAGGATAGCTTAGACAGGGGTACAGGGTGGTACATCCTTCCTTGAGGAAGTAAAAAAAAAGAAATTGCGTGACTAGACCCGCAGGTAACGAAAGGCCGCCGCACAGGGATGCAGGTTTCTGGGTGTCGGGGGGAGGGGTGTTTATTAACAGACTGCCAAGCAAGACTGAAACAAGGATGGAGTACACAAGGGGGGAGGGGAGGGGTTGTACGGTATAGCATTGGTTTAATGATTGTAGGGGGATGTTAGACATTGACCTTGGACTACCATCTTCCCACAAACATAATGCACCCTTCTTCATCTTCTTTTTTTTTTTTTTTTTTTTTCCCAAAAGGCCAGAGCGTTGTACAGGCCAAGGACCAGACCCGCGGTGATTGCTGGCAGCGGCAGCCACTGGTTGTCTTATTGTGAATGTATGCAAGCCATCTTTCTGTTCCGCTACTGTCATGATGAGGGTGCATTGTGTTCGGGGGAAGACGCACGGGTGGGGAGCCACAATACGGACTTCGTACTGCTTACCCACAATACGTTTACTGAGTTACTCTCTTGGGGAATGCTGTCCTTTTTTTTCCTCATCAGGTTTGCAGACTTTGCAGTAAAAGTACATATGGTAACAGTTCAGTAATATTTGGTTACCTGAAGCTCATGTAGATTCTCGAACACCAAGGGTAAGGCTTTCTCCCTTTGTCTCCTCTCCCCCCCTTTGTTGTTTCATGCTTGCCGGTAATAAGCAACCGGACTGCCGCCCCCAGAGTGGATGGGCCCTCTGTTTTTGAATTAGAAAAAAAAAAAGAAGAAAAGCACCCCCCACTGAATCTGTTATCTTAGTGGGAAGTCTATTAAAAAGGGGAAGTTATGGTTTTTGAAGATTTTGTTTTTTTTTATGTTATTAAAAAAAAAAACATGCCCAGGTTGTTGTAGACGTCAGAGTCATTTTGAACATTTTTCAATATCTGGAATGGGTAGATGTTGATGGTACTTCCCACTAAACACCTGGAACGGGGTGTCCATTCTAGGGACACCCCAATATCTTAGTGGGAAGTCTATTAAAAAGGGGTGTCTGGGCTTCATAGGCCGAAATAGCCTCTGCCTGTAACCCTCTCTCTCTCTCTCTCTCTCTCTCTCTCTCTCTCTCTCTCTCTCTCTCTCTCTCTCTCTCTCTCTCTCTCTCTCTCTCTCTCGCTGTGAAAAAAGAAGAAGAAGAGAAGAGATGGAGATGGAGATGGTGGGCGAGAACAGCAAGAAGAAGAAGAAGATGTCGCCCTCCTCACTGTCTCACCTGCAGGTAACTGCCGCCACGTACTAACTGCCGCCAGTGTGTCTCTGATGCAGGTCGCTGGCGTGAAGTCCAGTTATGGCGCCCAGGTAAGCACTGCCGCTGCAGGTATGGCCACCGCCTCTCTCTCTCTCTCTCTCTCTCTCTCTCTCTCTCTCTCTCTCTCTCTCTCTCTCTCTCTCTCTACCCACCTACTCCCCTATCTCTAGAACAGTGCTGTGCCGCGCTGCTCCAGCAGCGTGTCGCCCAAGAAGTGAGCTACTCGAACTGTGTGTCTGCCCTGGCCTGGCCCAGCTATATGTAGCGCCGGGCCTCGCTGGTGTGCCTCTGGTCCTGGCCTGAAACGGTCTGCCTGGGTCCCTGGACGTCCAGGCCATCCCTGCTGATGCAGCAGAGAGTGTCCGCTACTGGACGAACATGAACCTGGCCCGAAAGGGCCTGACTGTGAACGAAGAATGCCCAAAATGTGGCCTTTGTCCGAACGGACCGAAAGTCTCTTCGGACGAGCTGCAAGTCCGAAACGACGCCTGAACAGACAAAAATAGGACAGCAAATAAATAAATGAATGCTGCCTCAAATCGAATCCTGCGGCTTTAAGGCCGGCCGTGGGCCTCCAGGGCCCATGCCTGAATGGCGTGAGGCCTGGGGCCCCCCAGCAACCGTCGGGCCCCCAAAACGGGGCCTGTGTGCAGGCTCAGCATGAACCCCCCCCCCCCGTCCTCCTTATGGAGTCAAGCCGGGTTGAGGGCGAAGCTGACGATCTGATGGTGGAACCTGGATGCGAGTACGGCGTGGAGCCGAAGGTGCCAGCTTGCCTTGCTGTTTGCGTTCGTAACGTGCGTCGGAGGCTGTAGCCTGAAGTTCCGCACGGGTCAACCAACAGTCAGCCTTGTGGTTACAATAAGAAAAAGTGTACTAAGTACTCCGTCAGCTTGGTGCCATAGCGCCGCTGCGAAATGATGTCACTAACATCCTGAAAACTGTCCATGGAGGGTGGGTCTTGCGATCATCGCCCAGGAAATTCATTGCATTCCGCCGAAACGAAAAGAGCCAACTTTGAACGATGAAAGACCGGGTGGACGGGCAAGTGGGTGGGCACTTGAATGACAAATGAAGGTCCTTCCAGTGCGTCACCAGCGGGTGCTGCAATGCGCCAAGGCCCCATCCAATTCAGGAGGAGCTTGTGAGAGATATCTTGTTCGAAGCTGCATTCCGCGGCGGAGACCCAAACAAGGTCACCTGCGCGGAACGGACAGGTACCTTGAGGGCGGTGGTTTTCCATCTGGTGTGGGTGAGTGATAGTCTGCTTTGATTTTTGTCACAGGTACCTTGAGGGCAGTGGTTGGTGCCCACCTCACCGTATCAGTTGTCGGGCAGTTGTTGATGCTTAACCACGGCTGGGGTTAAGGTGGATTATCACTTACAGTGTAATCAGTTCGGGGATTCTGCAGACCGTTGAGGGTTCAGCCTCCTGATGAGTCGGTGAAATTCTGAGGAAACAGTTTGTCACAGCCCCTCGTTTGTTGTTCTCTTCTCCCTTTCTGCGTACGATTTATCGGGCAGCTCTGTTTGACTATATATACCACGACTTCGCTATCACCCTGCTACGGTTTTCTCCTGTCAGGTCGAGCGGCAGTTGTTGGGGTCGTCACTACGTGGCCATGTTGTGCCTCTGGTGCCAGCGGCGTGTCTGGAGTGTATTTTCTGGCTGTGACAAACCTTTCTTTGTTTCGTGGGTGTTTTGCTTGCTTGTGATGGGGTGTGAGCCGACAGTCTGTAGAGTTTCCATCTGGTGTGGTTGAGTAATAGTCTGCTTTGATTTCCGTCACATGTACCCTGAGGGCGGTGGTTGGTGCCCACCTCAGGGTATCAATTGTCAGGCAGTCGTTGATGCTTAACCACAACCGGGGTTAAGGTGGATTATCACTAACTGTGTAATCAGTTAGGGGATTCTGCAGACTGTTGAGGGTTCAGCCTCCTGATGAGTCAGTGAAACTCCAACGAAACAGTTTGTCACAGCCCCTCGTTTGTTGTCCTCTTCTCCCTCTCTGCCTATGGTTTACCGGGCAGCTTTGCTTGACTATATATATGCAGACTGTCGAGGGTTCAGCCTCCTGATGAGTCGGTGAAACTCCGACGAAACAGTTTGTCACAGGCCCTCGTTGGTTGTCCTCTTCTCCCTCTCTGCCTACGGTTTACCGGGCAGCTCTGTTTGACTATATATATATATATTTATATATGTATATATCTACATATATATTTCTGTCTTTTACGGACGGTTCGGAGGGGCCGATGTGCCGTTGGGAAGGTCGCAGGTTTTTTGAGCAGGTAAGACAGTATCAACTTGGGCAGGGTGTTTTTCATTGAGACCAGCAACAGGGAACAATGGATGAGCAACGGCGCGTGACCAACGGAATTCCCGGGGTATTTTGAGTACAACTCTTGAGTCTTAGGAGGATGGAGGTCTGCAGGGCCGCGATGAGGGAATATCGTGGAGGCGAGGAGATGATGAGAGTATTCGGGGTTGGCAGAAGACGGGAGGGGAGAAGACGTTGTGTCAGGGAGGAGAGTGTTCTAGGTAAGGAAATGGGATGTAGGTTGAGGAAGAGCAGGAGATGAGGTTTCTAAGGAGGAGATTTTATGAGAAGCATGCGCAGAGACTGGGAGGACGATGGTGCACGTTATGCAACATCAAAGCGATAAGGTACAGCGCTGACTTGCGGAGTTTGGTGAAGAAATCGGGGAAGGCGGAGGGAGGGAAGATGAAGAGGATTTGAGGCAGAAGAAGAGGCGGGAAGAAGGGGCAGAGAGGAAAGGGAGAAAGAGAGAATGGAAGAGGAGGAGAGAGCGGGAGGAAGAGGGAGAGATAGGGAGGGAAGACAAAAGGGAAAAAAGGAAGAGGTAGAGCTTTGGTAGAGACACCCAGATGAACCTTGAGGGAGAACGCGGGAATGGAGGGAGGTGTTTGAGATGAGTCGATCCATTGAGGTAGATCGTGGGAGTTTGCAGGATCAGTGAACAGGGATGCGAGTGAGGAATGGGGAGTATTTAAGTGAGAGATGAGGGACAAGCAGGCATCTCGATTCCATTGATCAGAGCCTCAGAGGAGATAGGGAGGGTACAGCCCCCTGATAATGTGCGCCAGCGGTGAAGCGCGTAGGGGCATTTGCGTACGGATTAGTGAGTCGAGATACATGGTCATTCTGGTATTGGTGTGATCTCGTCCATGCCACTGTAACCATCTGCTTTGCTCTCTCTCTCTTTCTCTCTCTCTCTCTCTCTCTCTCTCTCTCTCTCTCTCTCTCTCACACACACACACACACACACACACACACACACACACACAATGGAAGAGACATGCCATTTTTTTACCTCTTCAGTGATATTTCCAATTCCAGGCATTTTCTCCAGAATCCTCTCCACAGATTGCAAGGAAATAAAATAGGCACCAGCGATATCTGCCAACGCCTGCAAGCAACAGCAACTTCATCAGAAAATGTAGAAATCTTCAAGTTTCTTTTTCACATGGTCAGTCAGTCAACATCCTTTTCTTTCTTTTTTTGGTTAAACCACCACTAGCTTTCAGGCTGGAGAGCGAAGTCATAAATATAACCTATACTGTGAAAGGGCCTTTTTCACCCAATGTAGGCCTCAGGCCTTGTAACTAAGCAACGTGGGCCATGTAAAAGTAAAGCAGCCTGAAAAGGTATCTCGCCAGGGCTCAGAAACGTGAAAAGCAGGTCAAGAGTCCAAGTTCTTTACCAACGGGCACATCCTGAAGCAAAGGGCATTGTCAAAAGACTTACCTGTTCGCCAGCAGTTGTGTAGGTCATGAATAAGGTGTGTCTGTACGAGTAGCCATTGTGCCTGTTCGTGAACAGAGGAAAGGTTGTGTCTGT